AGAATCCAAAAAAACAAGGATAGTCTAAGGAGCCTCTGGGACATCTTTAAACGTACCAACATCCAAATCATAGGGGTACCAGAAAGGGAAGAGGAAGAGCAAGAAATTGAAAACTTATTTGCAGAAACAATGATACAAAACTTCCCTAATTTGGTGAAGGAAATAGACATACAAGTCCAGGAAGCACAGAGTCCCAAACAAGATAGATGCAAAGAGGACCACACCAAGACACATCATAATTAAAATTCCAGAGGTTAAAGATAAAGAGGGAATCTTAAAAGCAGCAAGAGAAAAGCAGATAGTTACCTACAAATGAGTTCCCATGTGACTGTCACCTGATTTCTCAAAAGAAACTTTGCAGGCTAGAAGGGACTGGCAAGTAGTATTCAAAGATGAAAAGCAAGGACCTACAACCTAAATTACTCTATCCAGCAAAGCTATCAGTTAGAATTGAAGGGCAGATAAAGAGCTTCCCAGACAAGGTAAAGCTAAAAAAGTGCAGCATCACCAAGCCATTATTATATGAAATGCTAAGGGGAATTGTATAAGAAAAAGAAGATCAAAAGGATGAACATTAAAATGGCAGTAAATTCACAACTATCAGTAATTTAATCCAAATAATAAACTAAGTAAATAAGCAGAACAGCAATAGAATTATAGATATGGAGATCATTTGGAGAGTTATCAGTTGGGGGGGAAGGGGGACCATGGGGGAAAGGGTGCAGGGATTAAGAAGAACAAATTCGTAGGTGCAAAATAGAGAAGGAGATATTAAGAATAGTATAGGAAATAGAGTAAATAGAGTAGCCAAAGAACTTATGCATGACCCATGGACATGAGCTAAGGGGTGGGGGTTGCTGGAGGGATAGGGGTACTGGGTGGAGGAGGGGCAAAAGGGGAAAACTTGGGACAACTGTAATAGCATAATCAATAAAATATATTTTTTAAAATAGGTAAGATTACCTTTTTTACCATCAAATAGTGTTCTATTGTGTAAATTTACCACAGCATTTTTTATCTACTCATCTACTGATGGGCAATTGGATTGCTTTCAAACCTCGGCTAAGGTAAATAATGTTCCAATAAACATAGGAGTACAAAAATTCACATTTTATTTAGATTGTATCAAAAGACTTTTGCTTTGATTTCTCCTAATTCTAAAATTATTTTTAGAAGTTGTTTTTGGCTATTTTGTTAGGTTATGGACAAGCAGGACTAGCAAATGTAATAAGTGACTCCCTTTGGCTGTTTTTTTTATTTTAAATTAACTTTTTGGGTTAGAAAAAAAGTATTTTGCTAGACATGTAAAAGTTTTTTATATAATTATAGTTTATTACCTGTGAAAATGTAGCCAAAACCTAAAACAATATCTGGCACACATAGACATTCAGTAGTTGCATATTGAGTGAAAAGACAGTATTGTGTGCTCTGTTAAATAACTAAAGTTAAAGAACAAAAGACTTTTGGTGATTCTAGCCATCTCTGTTTTATCATATAACTAATTTTGCCCAAGCTTTACACCAAAATTTCTTCTACTTTTAATATGCCATGATTTTTACAGGGTGTTTTCTTTCATGATCACTTTCCCAAATGTATATACATCTCCCAATGTATATACATCTCATTTTTCTGTTCCCAGACTTGATATTTTGGAGTTTAATTCATCAAGCCCTTATTTGAGTTTAATTCATCAAGCTTTCATTATATACCCACTATGTGTATTTTGTTGCACCCAAAAGCAAAGATGAGAAAACCTGGTGCTTATATACTTTATGTTTTAGTAGAATAACCAATATAAGCCCACACAGTAGTATACACAGTAGTATAGTACTAGTTTGATACATAAGCTAATATATTCATATAACAGAAGCCCATCATTTAGGAAGCTTTTTCTAAACTGTCCCAAACCCCAAGTTTTTGATACATTTCTCACTGGGTATAGGGATGGCATATTAAAATTTCCTATAAAAGATACATAATTTTAGAAGTTAACAAATGATTCTAATATGCTCTGCCTCTCCCCTACTTCCCAATCCTCAACCAAGAACTACTGATGAAAAGGAGTAAACAGTACAAGGAAGCAAATGATTGGACTGGCTTCACAGAGGATTTTGAAGAAATCTGCTATCTAGGGGGGTTTTTTTTCTGTCTTATTTCAAAACATATTATACAAGGACTTAACAAGAGCCAGACATTTCATTAAGTTCTGAGTACAAAATAATGAGCAAGTTTCCTGCCTTTTTGGAGATTATATAGCAGGAGAGAAAATAAAACATTACAGATAATTATTTTGATCCATGCTATGCAAGAGAATACAATTAAGTAATGAGGGTATATCCTGAGGGACTGAATGATCAGGCCACAGGGTTGGGGAGACTGCAGTAAAAATGTGAGCAACCATTCATTGTCCATCCCTGTGGAACTGAAAAGAAAGAGAATGGGGAAAAGGGAGTAGAGAGACAAGATTTTTGACCAAAAAATATGGCAACTTGAAGGGGTCATATGCAGAGAGTATATTTACCAAATAGATACAAGCTAATTTAATTTAAAGTTCTCCAAAGACTGAGAGATAAGATCTCTTCCCTTCTAACTCAGAGGTCCCTAAGGAGGCCCCTACAACACAATATTGTATTAGTTGGTTACAAAGCTTACTCATGGTCAACTGAAAGGAACTTAAAAATTTGAGGCTGAAGGGTACAAAGCAATTTCTTTTTTAACAAGTTCAAAATAAAATTCACTAAGTATTCAGGAATGTGTTCATGTCCTTTTATGTCTATGATAGAATGCTACCTTTAGCATAATAATGTAGAGCAAGGTACCATCCATTTATTCATTCCTATATTCAACAGTCATTGACTGAGCACCACCAATAAGTGTTAGAGATATAAATTAATACAACAGTCTCTACCCTCAAGGAGCTTATAGTCTAGGGAAGGAGACTGTCATAAAAACACATCACAGTGATACCATATAAGTGTAATAGTAGAGCTATGCACAAGGTAATATTGGACATGATGTTCAAATGTCCTTATTATGGGAAAATACAAGGAGTCCAGTCCTTATTACAGGAAAGTGTGAAGACTGTGAAGTGTGGCTGCAAAGTAGCATTAGTCAAAACAATATTTTGCATATCATCCAGCAACTCCACTTCTAGGCATTCATCTAAAGAAAACAAAAACACTAATTCAAAAAGATATCTTCACCCTCATGTTCATTGCAGCATCATTTATAAAAGCAGCCATGTAAAAGAAGGAAATCATCCTATTTGTGACAATATGGATGAAACTTGAGGGCATTATGCTGAGTGAAATAAGTCAGACAGAGAAAGACGAGTACCGTATGATTTTACTTAATATGTGGAACAACAACATATACAAACCTATACAACAAAAAATCTAATGCATAGATACAAAGAACAAATTGGTGGTTACTGGAGGCAAGGAAGCAGGGCAGTGAAATGGGTGAAAGGGGTCAAAAGATACAAACTTCCAGTTATGAAATAAGTAAGATCTAGGGATGTTAGGTACAGCATGGTAACTATAGTTAATAATACTGTATTGTATATTGAAAAGTTATTAAGAGAGTAGATCTTAAAGTTTCTCATCACAAAAAAAAATGTGTAACTATGCATGGCAATGGATGTTAACTAGACTTATTCTGGTGATCATTTCATAATATATGCAAATACCAAATCATTATGTTGTACGCCTGAAACTAATATATTGTTATGTGTCAATTATAATCTCAACTTTTAAAAAACATTAAAGCTTTAAATAAACAGCATGTGAAGCACCTGGAACGAGGCATGATAACTGGTTTAAAATTAATTAATTAATTATTTATTTAATTAATATTTTGCAGATAGTATTGGTAGAGAGGAAGAAAAACACATTTGAGTTGAAAGAGTTTCAAACACATGATATTTTTCCCTCAACTGATATTCCCTTAAATATCTCTCTTAATTGCTCCTCTTTGCCTTTCTTTCTTTAGTTTTCTTCTATTTTCACTCATCCTTACCCCACAGGAAGCCAAATGTTAAAGAAGTTGTCTTTTTGACAAACAGCATTAAGTGGTACTTCTGGAGAGTCAGGGGGATAATTATGGCTTCTCTCCACTAAATATAAAAGTACTCTCAGAGTAATATGAAAGAAAGCACCATCCATATTTTTTTACTTTTATTTTATTGATTTTAGAGAGCGGGGAAGGTAGGGAAACAGTGGCGGAGAAACATTTATGTGAGAGAGAAACATCACCAATTGATGTTTGGGGCTCATGTACATGCCCCACTGGGTACCAAACCCACAACCCAGGCATCTGCCCTGACAGGGAATTGAACCCATGACCCTTCAGTCGACAGACAATGCTCCAACCAACTGAGCCACACTGGCCAGGGCCATCCATATTTATTTATAACAGGGACAAAACAGTACAGACTCCCTGAGAACAAGGCTTATGTCTGTATAACTTTGAATTCTGCACAATTCATGAAACATGTTGATCCTTTTAGCACCTGACTTTATGTCAAATGCTGGGGATACAGAAATGAATAAGACATTGCCCCTGGCCTTCAGGCTGTTATTCTAGAATGGGACAAATAGACATGTAAAATAAATAAAGTACAGTGTGAAATTGCTATCATTGAAGTTTGCATGAAGGGCTGTTGGAATACTGGGGAAGGAATAATAAACTCTGCTTAAAGAAATCAGAGAAAGCCTCACGAAGATGACATTTGAATTAGGTCTTAAAGGATAAGTAGAAACTGGCTTAACCTTCCTAGCAAGATTGTTTCAAATTAAAGAAATGAACAGTTTAATTGTTACTGATAGGCTGTTTGCTGTGAAATAAAAAGATGAGCAAAGTCGTAGATAGAAACCAGGACTTGAGATTGGTGGAGGGAGAAGGGGCTTTTAATATATGGGCACTAGTGCTGTGAGAAAACAGTATGCATTAGGAGCAGCGATATTTCAGTGATTCATTCTGTCATATCTCTTCCTCTCTAGCCATCAGGTTTGGGCGGATGCCACAGGCTGAGAAGGAGAAGCTGCTGGCAGAGATCTCCAGTGATATCGACCAGCTGAACCCAGAATCTGCTGACCTCCGGGCCCTGGCAAAACATTTGTATGACTCATACATAAAGTCCTTCCCGCTGACCAAAGCAAAAGCGAGGGCCATCTTGACAGGAAAGACAACAGATAAATCAGTTAGTTCTCTTCTACCATCTTCATTTGGGGTGGCTGGGTTTATTTTTGTTGTTGTTATTATCTCCTTTGAGGAAATGATTAACCATGTTACACACACACATGCAGAGTACTATTCAGCTGTTAGCTGTTACATATTGTAGGCAGAGTCTGAAGCACAGGAAAGGAAATGTCTTCAGATAGGATAAGTAAACATTATTTTGAAAAGGGAAAAAGTCCATCAAGTTCTCCTACTACTGGTATTTCGCTGTGGATAATGTGCACTTTTTTGCCCAAATTTTTGAGGGAAAAATAAGGATGCACATTACATGAGTATAATGATTACATACCATGGGTATAATAATCCTGTGTATGATACAAAACCGTGGGTGTGCATATGTGGCAAAATACAGTAAATTCTTCAAGAATAGTATAAACATATGCAGGTCATCTTAATTTTAATGAATGGCCAAGCCCCCTTTATCCACCACCTTCTTTCAGGATCTATTTCTTTTCTTGCCATGAAAATAACTAGTTACGACTACATTCATTCACTCAGCCCTGCTTTCTGGTCCTAGGTTTGGAAAAGGTATTCAGTCTCATTATTTTACCTTTTGGGAGCAGTACTAGAGATGCCTCTTAGGCAGTTCCACGTTGGACAGAAAAATACATTCCAGATACTACATTACCTTTTTTCCTTGTAGCACTCCGTTGGTGATTCCTGGGTAACTGGAAGCATCATCCTTTTAGATACATGTATGAATTTTATCTTCTGTGAGGCTTGGAGCCACCTGGGCTACTCTAGCTGAGAATCTAGTGGATTCTCAGACATCTATAACCTCATTGATTACCACTGTTTAGAGAACTCAGAATGAATTATAATTATAATTATGTGGAGTCAAGTTTTCTAAAAAGTAGAACTCTCCCCTGATAGGAAGCTAAGAAAGCAACATGGAACCATATTAAAACAAAATATAATTACAGCTGAATTCTAGTCCCAATTCTGCTGTCTGCTTACATATGGATCACATCCCTGTACCTCAGTTTGCACAGTCAGGGTCTGGCTTTCACTGTAATGTCCACAGCATGTCTTAGGGTAGTAAGTCACAGAACACATTCAGAAGGCACCACCCCAGCCCTTGATAGACCTTTTATGCTATCATTTATTTTCAAATGAACATAGCTCTAGGCTAGCTATGCAATTACTTGATGTGTGTGTATCTTTTCCTTACTTGATTATATTTTTTGGAAAGTTTGATTACCCTTTAATGTACTTTTATAATGCTCCTAAGATGTTATTTTTTCCTTTTAGCTAACCCATAAGAATAGAATCAGCTAATAGAAAGAGAAAACTCCTGTAGTATATTCCTGTATAAAGAGCCAAATGCCAGAAGTACAAGAGAGGTTTTTGATACCTTAACAGTATTATACCTGTATTCAGTTCTTTATGATTTTAAAAATTCTTACAAATTTATATGTTCAAGATATATGACCATCTTATAGCTCCTATTATTACCCCCTTTTTAAAGATGAGGAAATTGATGGTTAAACATTTTGCCCTGAGACCACACAGCATGTGGAAGAACCAAGACTATAATGCAGGCCTTCTGACTACTGCTTCAGTACATTCTGAGCATGATATTCCCTCATGGAAGTTAGTATTTCCCATTGGCTAGCAATGAGCCAGGGTTGCCCTGTACACTAGGAAAGTTTCACCTTGGGAAAATATTCTGAGTTATGATTTATTTTTACCAACTTTTAGAATAGCAGGAATTTTCAACCTCTCCTACTATCCTAGTATATTCACAGTTGGAAAAATTACCTTGTGCTGTTTTGTTCTTCCAGAATTATAGTGATTAGGACTGTCTTCTGCAGACTTTTATAGACTATAAATCATATGGCAAAGCTAAGTCTATATATTTATTAAATGAAAAAAATTGGGGTATAACAAAACAAAAGCAAATGAAGACTTCTACATAGATGATTTGACTATGGAAAATAAGCTGTGCTCATATAAAGGGAGAAAAATAAAAAGAAAGCTAGACTGATGTGGCTAAAGAAGGTTAACAATGGGCAGATTGCAACAACTTGATGAGAGCCAGTATGGGATAGGAAAGTGGAGGACAGAGCCCAAGAACTGGGGAAGGAGTGATAACTGGGAAAGAGCCCTAAAACCAACTGTTTACACCACTGCTTTCCCTCAGGCCATTTAGCTTCCAGGAACTGCTTTCTCACGTTTTTCTTATCTCTCAATCCAGACCTGCAATCCATGCTGGAAAGCCTATCAATTTAATTGTACTTGGAAGATAGGAGGAAGGCAGTTAAAAAATTTGTTTGTTTGTTTGTTTTTCTGCAGTAGTCAAGAATTTAAATTTACTCCACCAGTGACCAACATACTCTTCACTGTATTACTGAAGGGCAGAGCCCAATCCACTGTAAACCACTTTAAAACCTCATGCCAATTGATTCTTTGGCTCTAAATATTTCTGTTAAAAATAAGATAATTGCAGGCACTTTATGTGATAAATAGGTATTAAGCTATTTTAAGAGAAAGGGCTGCAAAATGCTTGATTATAGGCTTTTCAAGTTCAGAGGCCAAATGTCTGTCATTTTTCCCCTATAATAACTGTAACTGTGCTTTCCCCATAATAGTTACTTGGGATGTATTTGATTAATTGAATTAAAAACTATTGCCTATGCCTTTGAAATTCTGGACTTTCAACAGAGGTCCTCTAACTAGCCTAATATTTGCTAACCAAACTGGACATCATTAATGATCTGGATAGAGGCAAAATTGCCTCTTGTTAGGGTCTGGAAAGACAGACTGGGCCAAATTAAAATAATCCATTCACTGATTACACAAAACTGAAATAGAATTGTTTGGCTCTCTCTTTTCTCCTTATCTTGCAAAATCAAATTAAGCACTGGTGGAAAGAAATAGTTCAGAGAGGAAGATGGGAGAGAGGAAAAAAAACAAAAAATGTGATTTCCAAGGAGACTAGGGATTTGTTTTTTATCTTACATGGTCATGTTATTCATTTGATAGCATCTTTCTCAGGGGTGTTATGTTATCTCTTGGCCAAGACTTATGAAGGTTAAGATTTGAATTGATTGAACAAGCTTTGCAGAAGTATGGACTCTTGAGAGGGTGGTGGAGGATGTGAAAAAGTGGCTATGGCTGGTGCAATAGAGCAGTTTGGGTCCCATTATACACCCTGATGAACTGATGTCATTAGTGTTAGTTAGGCCAAGTCTGGGATAGGCTCCTCAGTATTGTGGATGACCAGTTACCAAGAACCTTTGGAAAGGAAATGACTTTACTGAAGAAGCCATTCTTTAAATTTATCTTACTGCTCCATTTAACCATTGCTCATTCATCTCATTTATGGAATGCCTGCTACTCTTTCCTCTCATGCCCAGCACCAGCATTTACCTGCAGGCCAACCAGGGCTTCTCCCTTGCCAGCTTAACTTTCTTCTCCTGTATCTTATTCCCTGGTGCTGTTTGCACCTTTCAAAACAGATAAATGGACAGATAAATTAAATGTTCCTGCTCCCCTCTGATCTTTTTAACTTTAACAACTGTACTGTTGGAATATGATGTACTTTTCAGTTCATGCCTTAAAAAAAATAATGCTTGGGAATTTTAGGCTCAGGGCTAGGAAAAGATGGAATATGGAATCACTGCACATGGATCACGGGAGGATTTTAGGAGCAATGGACCTCTTAGCCACCCTAAAATAGGAATGAATTGACTCTCCCACAGTCTATTTTCCTTTAATGGCTTGTTCCAGCCCAGGACCCTTCTTTAAGAGATCCTGCTAAACTCTGAAACTGTGAATATACTAGAACTAGAGTGCTATGGTTCCTGAAGGCAGCTGGAGAACTGAATGGACTTTGGAAGTTCCCAGTGTTTGACCATTACCCTGATGTGATGATCACACTGGGTGCATCATCATCACATGATCTCATGTTTGTTGATGAAAATAAACAGAGAGTGGTTTTCAAAATCATTTTCAATGCCATGGTTTATCATAAAACAATAAATAGAAAAACTCTTGGTGTTCCTGCCAACTTTTCACTCCATATCTGAGAGATGGTGAGGCCCTGGCTGCACTCTCTCTGCCAGTAAAGATAAAACTTCTTATTTGTACTGTATTGGACTTTGCATCCCATCATGTTGCTTATGATAGGTACATGCAGTGTCACTGTTTTTATAATTACAAAAGCAAACAGTGCCATTGTAAAAAGGGTTTTCCCTAAGTAGTATATGAAATAGGAAACTAATGATTAATAAAACCAATATATAAATGTAAATTGTGAAAATATTCTGTACTCTTTAAATTTTTCTCATTCTAAAATTTACATGGTCCATCAAATCTAATAACTCAAACTATTGGAAAGATAGCTGTGCTTTTAAATCCTGAACAAAATTGTCCCTTTCCCTTTTACCTGTGGCAAAGCCTGAGTGAGCCAGGATTTACTGTCCTGCATAGGAAGATGACAGACAAATCCTTAGAGAAAAGAGACCACAGAGCCCCACTATAAAAAAAGAGCAGGATAACAGTGCTATTTTATTTCAATGGTTACTAAAGAACTTGGGCTCCTAAGATTACTAATTCCTATGTCAATATTAGTAAAATAAATTCCTTTATTGCCAGGACTGTCAGGAATAACTAAAAACATAATATATCTGAACCAATAGTATTATTTCAGACAATAAATTAAAAAGATAATATTCTATATATTTAAGAAGAAAAGTACTTTGATTTTTTTCCCTTTTTCATGATTAGATTCAGTTGGCCAATACCCTTGTTTGCCAGCTGAGTAATGTTTTGGCTGGCAATTGACGGTTTTTAAAGAGTTGTGTTTATCTGCTAGTTCATAAGAGTGTGACTAATTCTTCCTATTAGGTTTTCATTTGTCTTAAACCTCTAAATCATACAGGAAAATGGAATTACATTTAAAAACTTTCAAACTCAACTTCAATCACATTCAGCACTTAACTAGCACCTCTAGGATGTGACTGTTCAAAAGGCACTACCTCCAAGATCCCAGCATAGAAGAGTTTCAGTTCCCATCTCCTCTCAGAATATTAATTTTATTTCAAAAAGAAAACATGGGAAAGTCATGTAGAAAGGTATAGAAAGAGAAATGAACTAAACCTGAGTCAGGAGATCTAGATCTAGTTCTAGTTCACATTTGCTGTAAATAGCTATTTGACTTTGGAACTTCTCTTAGCTTTAATTTATTTGTACCTAACCAGAGAGTGATGATGTAGGTTATTTCTGAAGACCCCCTTAGTTCTATAAACCCTGTGGTTCTCAACAAGAGGAAAATAGGAATAACAGGACTTTGGAACTTCTCTTAGCTTTAATTTATTTGTACCTAACCAGAGAGTGATGATGTAGGTTATTTCTGAAGACCCCCTTAGTTCTATAAACCCTGTGGTTCTCAACAAGAGGAAAATAGGAATAACAGGGGCAGAAACCAAGTTAAGGAAACTCAACCAACACATTTCGGATTCACATTCACCCACTATAGCTAATCTAATCAATCCATGTGTGTCTAAAAGAATTAAAGTCAGTCAGAAGTATAAAGAGAAATAAGGAAACAAAATGAAGAAGATAGGCCCTAAGAATTCCATTTCTTTCCTTAACCTTTGCTCTAATTTGTCAGGGGAAAAAAAAACTAAGAGTATCAGGAGAGCCCCACCAGATGAGGCATGCATTTTTCCAGGCCGTTTTTAACTCTTATATAACCAAGTAATTGTTTGTGAGAGGGTAGAGTTGTCTAATACACTAATTTCACTCTCCCAAATGGTAGAAATCACTGGAACAATCTATGCTTTATTAGTTGACTTTCTCATTTATCTCCTTCAGCTTGCTATTTTATTATTCAAGAAGCTATAAACTTGGAGCATTCATATGTAGTCCCTTTCATAGCTCCTATATTAAAATGCTAATATTATTGGACTACTACGAAACACTATTGTTCTGTTTCCCCATTATTAGCCAGCTTTCCCCAGGACTTTTGTGTTTTACATAAGACGAATACAATAGATCTATAACTAAATTTAATTATCTATATAAAACAATACCCTTAATCCCATCCTGGCTTGATATGTAGAGCCATTTTTTTTAATCAAAATATATAAAAATAAAGTACATTTGATGTATCTTTTCAGAGAGAAAACTTTTCTGTGATTTCCCCTGACAGGAACTGTTTCTTCTCTGGAAAAAAACATTGTGTCCAACTACAATTTTCTTCATTTCATCCTCACCTTTTTCTGGTCTACCCAATATAGGAGGAGTACCAGCATCATAATGGCCAGAGGCAGCTTCATCAGAAAGCTAATGAAGCTTAAGCTTCAGGGCCCTTCCCTTGCACAGAACCCCTTTGAAATCCCTGGGAAGAACCTGTACAATTTTGTTCTTATAATTTGTATTATTGAACCCAAGAGTTGTTGTAAATGTACTCACAACTGTATACATTTTAGGCTCCACAAAACCTGGATCTATCCCTGATAATGTCCTAGATGTAATTAAGCATTCTTTCTTGTTAAGGAGATATGTTTATCTAGTCATGTGATAGACTGTCTGAAGATAAATACATTGTTAGCCCCAAACTAGAAGTGTAAGATCATTAAGGTCAAATTTAAAGATGATATGGTTCCTCTTATAATGGCAGATCATCAGACGATACCATATAAGCTAATAGAACATACAAGGCTTCCCTTTGCTTTGTAGAAAATTCAGAAACATGTAATATTTTACCGGAAGTATAATGTTAAATTAATGATTCAAGATAAATTCTACAGACCTTGTTCCACCTGTAGTTTTAAGAGATCAGCTTTCAGGGTAAGGAGGTCCCATTGTAAAATGTGCAAGTGAATTGTGTGCAATCTGTTGGATAAGAATTGGTGAATTAGTGGCAAAGAAAGGTAGATCATATCTAGTGATCACTCATGCAGTTCGACAGATCCACATGGAGGCTGAAAGAATCTATGTAGACCTCAAAATGCAGTGAAAACAGCACAATCATATATGACTGGGAAAAACAAAAAAATCCACCTGGTGTTCATTTGCATGTCAATACCCAGAACTTTCTGTCAGTTCATCACTTTTTCAAAATGCTGAAAGGATTTTTTTTTAAACTGAATGGTTTGGCATAACGGTGGGGGCTGCTGATTCCTTTCTCTGTCCTTGAGTGTTTACTGCCAGGAAATCCTGACCAACATTGATTGCCAAGGGGTTAAAGTCACATTGTTGTTAAATTGGGAGAGAATATTAGCAGGATTTTGTGCCCTATGCTCAACTATCACAGAGTTTCAATAACAGGAACCTGGGGCTTTATATGAGGGGACAGGGGAAGTCAAGGGGAAGAGTCACAGGGTGATTTATCAGGGCATAGTTCCAGATAAATTCCTTACATGGAGGTAGAAGAATTTTATCCATATATTCTGTGCCAAAAAATCTAATTGTTGAGCAGAAGCTCATCCAGAAGTTGAAGTGGGTAGTTCTAGGTACAGTATTTCCATATATGAAGAGGCAATGATTTTATATTCTTATAATTTGTACTCATGCATGTGCGGGTAGACTTTTCAGGTATCCATACCATGAGATTCTCATAGCAAAGAAAGCTAGTATTTCATTAACACAAACTATAATAAACTGCAAAACTCCTGGAGGACAGAAACCACATTTTCTCTAGGCTCTGTAAAAGTAACTTTTTCTCATGATTAGAATCTAACATTCTGGGAAAACTCAGCACATTTTCATGGATGTGACTTACTAGCCACTCTGCCCTTTTTTCCTCTCCCACTAATAATATCAATCCTGAAGTGGGAAGGGAGAAGCAAAATGTTCAAAAACATAGTAAGCACTATTTTCTCCTGATTTACTTGAAGAATTAGTTAGAGGCACCAGGCAAACTTATTCTTGGGTCCTTATATCCATCCTCCTTTTTATTTTGCTAAGTAACACAAGTGAATTGAATTTTTTAGTTAAAAAAGTAAGTTAGAATTTCTGGAATAACTCCAGTGAATGGTGTTGAAATAATACGCAATTTTGGAAATTTACTCAGCATCTAAGAGTCCTTAGTGTTAGTGTTACATAGAACAGACTTAATAGTTTGGTGGAAATTATAGACCTGTAGAGATTAATAGTTAGAATCTCCAAACCAGTAGGTCTTGAAACTGGCTACCACTGCCACTCATGGCACCTGCTTCTGCTTGCCAACGAGGAGAGAATTCTCAGCATCTCTGCTAAAAAGAAACCTTATTTTTAGCACATTGAAGACTCCATGTTCAGTGTATGTGCTTGTGTGCATGCATGCTCACACATATCTGCTCACACACCACACATACACACCACACACACACTCTGCAGAGAAATGCAACTAGAATATCCTCAAGAGAAGAGATGGTAACCTCCAATTTATAAACCCCCCTCAACTGAAATATTTGTAGCCTAAAAAGATGACTTTCCTAAAGTCACATAGTTAACCACAGAACAAAAGCTAGAACCCAAGTACCCCCAATTCTTATTCCAGTGCTTCTGTATATATGCACTTATTTGAATAGGTTTGGGATTTTATTCCTTATATAGTTCAGTATATACAGTGCATATAAAGTACTGTCCCTTCTCAACCAGAGTAGCCTTGAGAGTTTTCACAATGATGAACCTTTGGTTAGTTCTGTACAAAAAAAAAAAAATGCAAGAGAGAGATCATTTCATGACTAACACAACTTGCTTTTGAAAGCAGCCTATTGCAAACCTCAGTAACCAATGCACATGTTTTATTATTTGACCTTTAAGAACAGATATTTTGAAAAATAAGTTCAAAACTCTTTATTTTGCCACTCTTTGCAGCACTTACCTACAGGCCTTATACATCTGCTCTCACTGAAACAGATTGCTTCCAGAGCATTAAAAAAAGAAATAGGCATCTTCTTGGCTCAATATTCCTAGTCAGCTTTCAGACCAATTTTTTTGTAATTAAGTATATTTTACATGCACACTGTTTCATTCGAGATCTCAGTAGATTTAATCTCAAACTGCAAGGTTACTTTATGTTTAAGTAGGTCTGTTCAACCCTGGGTTGCTGAAATGATTTTTTACTGAAAGAGGTTAAAAATATACTCTCTTGAAAACCAAGATAAACAATAGATTTTATATCATTTTTAAAATTGATGACAAACATTCCTCAAACAACAGAAATTAAACTATTAGCCAGTCATGGGTAGTGTTGCAGGATGAGTTGAAGGAACAGAAGACCAAAACTGGGAAAACATCTTCAGTCCCAGAAGGCAATTAGGAGGAATAATCAAGAGATAAGGGTATTTTGTCATTATTAAGTGTTGGCTCTTTAAAGATTTTAGCTATTAAAGCAAATGTGTATAAAGAAACTGGGATTCTATTTACTGTGAATTAGAAATCTCCAACTCAGCCACTTTTTCCTCTTTTTTTTATTTGCAGCCATTTGTTATCTATGATATGAATTCCTTAATGATGGGAGAAGATAAAATTAAGTTCAAACACATCACCCCTTTGCAGGAGCAAAGCAAAGAGGTGGCCATCCGCATATTTCAGGGGTGTCAATTTCGCTCAGTGGAAGCTGTGCAAGAGATCACAGAATATGCCAAAAGTATTCCTGGTTTTGTAAACCTTGACTTGAATGACCAAGTAACTCTCCTAAAATATGGCGTCCATGAGATCATTTACACAATGCTGGCTTCCTTGATGAATAAAGATGGGGTTCTCATATCAGAGGGCCAAGGATTCATGACAAGGGAGTTTCTGAAGAGCTTGAGAAAGCCCTTTGGTGACTTTATGGAGCCCAAGTTTGAGTTTGCTGTGAAGTTCAATGCACTGGAATTAGATGACAGCGACTTGGCAATATTTATAGCTGTCATTATTCTCAGCGGAGGTAAGATACATCTTTGATTTTCCGTGAAAGAGGGTGGGATGGTGGTGGAATAGCTGAAAGTTTTTTTTACTTTCTTAGTGTTACTCAATGTTTCTTTTCTCTCTTTACTCACTGTACTTTCCATACAGAAAATGCCAATGGCATAATGCCCCAAAAGTGTCACCGCGCATGTAAAATACCAAGAAAAAATATCATAGATTTGCTGGTTGAAGGCTATGGCTAATCCAGGCTCTTTTCTTTTAACCCTCATAACATTTTTGCCAGTCAAATTCAAACATGGAAGATAAATTCCCTCTTCTCCTTTTTCTTTCTCCTTATTTTCTTTTTTCCTTGTCTTTTTCCTCTCCTTTCCAGAAGGCCAATCTAATATTCATTTAAGTAAAGGTATGTATAATTTTGCTTAAGATGATGCTCACTTGCCATAAAGAAAACATTACTAAATGTTTTCGGTCAAATTATGCTCCTGCCCCACCATCAGTAAGATATTTCTTTGAATTGCTTTAGCAATATCAGGAAACAAGGCATAAATATATATACCATGTACTGACCTCTACCTACTCTCTCATGTATATCCCTCTGATTGCTTCCCTTAAAGTACCTCAGTGAGGTGGTTGGCTGTGATTAAGAATGCAATCTGAACCAAAAAACAGAGAGCAGAGAAATAAATTGAGTTACTTAGCAATTCATTGTATTTTTGGCCTTGCAAGTAGATGATCTAACTAACCAACTCCAAAAGCCAAGTTTTATACTAAATGCTACTTTCATTGGCCTCTCACATGTTTCCAACTTGAATAGAAGAAAGTTTACTGTCATCTTGCTCTATAAAAACTGTTTTCAATGACAAGTTTTCATTACTAAAATGGAGTTCAGGTGAGCTTTTTATGTGTACTTACAGAATATTCTCTGTGAAAACTGATGTGGTGGGGGGTCCTATAAATATAGACATAAGCTGTGTGTAAATGTGCAGGGTATTATAAAGAACACAGTCCACTGTATTGTCCTTTGTTGTCCAATTACTTGAGAGCAGAATGCTTCTGAAATCAGGTGTATAGTGTAATAATAATAATAATCACCTATTAAGTACTCATTGTGTTCTAAGCACTTCATACACATTCATTTAATTCTTACAACCCAATGAGGTCAATACCCTTTTGCAAACAAGGAAACCAAAATACTGAAAGATTCAATCTTTTGCCCAGGGTCACAAAGCTAGCAAAAGGTGGAGGCAGGATTATAAACACAGGCAGTCTGGCTCGAGTCTGTACTGATACTGCCCTTTACCAGGGTACAAACAGATAACAGTATGGCACATGTTCACTTTGGAACTCTAAGTCCAGTGTCAAGTTGTAACTCACTTAAAAATTACTTTTTTGGTGTTATGTTTAATGTAACAAGAATATATTATCCAACATGTTTTAATATCTTGACTGAATCTACTTCTTAAACAAATTAACCCTTGATCCTATTGGAACTATGATTAATTCAGCAAACAAAAATGAGACTCCAGATTATTTGAGGTTCACTGAGAGGAAAAGATTAAAACCATATTAGAAGACAAGTTAATATTGTTTAACTAGCTAATACTTTAAGGCATATTGTATTTTTAATGAAAAATAGAAATAAAATTATTAACATTTGATATATTTCTAAGATTTTTCCTAAGCATATTATATATATCATGTATGCATTCCTTTCTTTGCTTAATGTTTTCCCATGTCATTACATACTCTTTGTTAATAGTTTTTATTCATTTTTAAAAATAAAAGTAATACTTGCTCATTAGATAATTCAAAGAATACAGAAGGGTGGAAGTGGAAAGTAAAGGTCTCTTTCCTCAGAATAAAACTGGATTAACAAAGTCCTTTTTCTCCTACCACAAATTTTCTATGCATGTGTTAGCATATATTTATATATATATATGCTATTATTTTTAAATTATTTACTATTATTCTTTTAAGAAATGGAGTAAGCAGGGATGAGGTTAAAGTGCAATATGAGCAACTAGTACTACTTTCTGCTCCCCAACTTTGTGCTCCTTTACAATCGGCCCTTTGGAGAAGTTATTGAAACAGTTGGTGGTAAACAATTTGGAAGATCACAGCAGATATTTGAAAATGGAGTAGTTTGCTCACACATGTGAAGTGCAGTGGAAGGCATTCATTTTTCTAGCCTCACCATCTCTCTGAGTTGTTTTTGTAACTGTGGAAGGCCGCAAAAAAAAGTTCTGGAGGCTGAATGTCCAATATCAAAGTACCAACATGGTTGTATCTTGGAGAGAGCCCTCTTTCCGTTTCATTGCCAGTGCCTTCTCACTGAGTCCTCACATGGTGGAAGGCCTATGCTACCATTTTAAATGACTCTAAAATATTTCATTTTATAAAGAACCATGACCAACTAAATTATTTCCCTATTTATGTTTAGGTTGCTTATAATTTATTATAAAAGCCTATAGAAAAAAATATAGAAAATTACTGAAAACGTGTTCCAAGTTTTGCTGTAGTGAACATTCTTGTATGTAAATTTCTGTTCATATTTCAGATTATTTTCTTATTTCAAATGGCCAGAAATGGAATTGCTGGGTAGATGGCTATGAACATTTTTAAGTCTTTTGTTACATCATTATCAGATCGTTTTCCGTAAAATTGGTACCAGTTTATATTCCCATCACAGATACTGAGGGAGGCATTTGAAATAAACTATTCAAAGATGCTTTGTTTCCAACAAGGAAACATTTAGATAAGAAACAATCATGATAATTCTGGGCTTTTTGAACCTGAGCAGTTTTGTTTTATGGGCACATGAGACAACAGTGTGGTTTCATCTAGAAAAATACCATTAGTACCCCTATTTTACAAGCTAGATTACTTAATCAGTGATTTGTTAGGCCTTTAAGTTTTTCATTAATAGCCAAAAAAAAAATAGTTCTGTGAATAGCTTGGTTCAGTGTAATAGATATTTCAGGCAGGCTTTCACTATGAAAATTAAAAATGGTGCCATTTAAATGCAGATGCTGTATAAATGTGTTCTTTTAGCCTTTCACCATCTTCACAGTGACCTATATCCAGATCTCACTGAATCCTCACAATAGTGAATGAAATCTGAAGGTAGCAGTAAATCATAGATTATTAAAATCTTATATCTGTGGTTATAATAAGAAAACCCTGTGAATAATTTTAGACTCACTTAAAAAAAAAAAAAGAATTTCCCATTGACTAGCATATCACAAAAGACAAACCCTGTCCTGATCAAAGTTTTCTTTTGTAGATGAAGTCCACTTACAGTAAGTCATTGGATAAAAAGGTATAAACTGAACCCCATGTTTATTTAGTACATAGGAATTTTATTCTGTTCCTTAGTCAGAGAAGCTGATTGGGCACAGGTCAGAGAAGGAACTGCTCAACTCCTTCTAAATCCAAATGCTGGATTCCAGTAAGATCAGAATCCCAGTCTCCTGTAGATGGTAAGATCAGTATCCCAGTTTGTGGTTTGTTGGAGTGTGTCATGTAATTTCTTATTAGTTTTCATTGTTTTCCTATTGGATTTTCCAGAAAAGGAAAACATTCACATAAGTAAGAGGTTTTAATCCAATCAACAGATTTCTGATCCTACCCAATCTCAACAAGAGTAATTATTTTCTCCTCTGCAATTTATTCTGATGTCTATAAATATCTTTAGTGATTTTGGGGTGGAGAGAGTGCTTTTTTCAGAGATCCATTGACTTCATTCTGGACTAGCTTTACAATCAAGAACACTTCATTCTGGTGAAGGCACTATAACACTAGACTTAAGGAAGAATGGGGAGATGGGCATGATGTAAGAATAGGACGGTAAGGAATTGGGGAGGTTAAAGGGAGGCCCCAGAGGACATAAAGGGGACTTTTTGGATGAAAGTACCTGATTTGACCCAACAAGTATTTGCTGAGGAAACTAGAGTTGCTACAGTCAGATCACTGTCACTCAGCTTCAACCCTGGAAACTGCTGATAACATTAGATGTGGTACTTAGATTGGCCTGGTGCTTAGCATCTCTACTACTTACTCAGCTTTCAAACCAAGGTTGTGAGGAAGATGACCCAGTTCTTGTCAAGTTTCTTTCCTCTCTCTCTTTCTCCTCTGAGCCTGAGGCAAGAATGAGACTAAAAAGAACATCAACACTCTAGAAACAAAGGAAAGCACTGTGTACATTTTAAGAATATTTCATACTCACTCTCTCAGTAGATCCTGACAATTCTGTATTTTTATTCTCATTTCATAAAAAGAAAGTGAGGGTCATAGACTTAAGCAATTTGCCTAAGATCTAACAATTAGTGAGCAGTGCAACTAGGACTGAAACCCAGGTGTTCTGTCACCTCCATGTGCCCCGTCTGCAACAAACCCTGCCCTCTGCTACCTGGCTAGTGGATTGTGACTAACCTTCATATTTGTGTTGGGGTCCACAACCTGTGCTCCCTTCATGATACTCTCTAAGCTATAGATATACTCATAATCCATACCTTATTCCTTGATATTTATGATGAGTAATAGTTTCCCTTGCTGCCTGTATTCCCACTGACTGGATGGGTGGCGTCAAGAGTAATAAAACTGCCTCCAGCGAGGGCAGGTTTGCAGCTGGCGCCACAGCATCATGCCAGCCACACATGTAAACTCCCAAAACCTACCCAGCAGCCAAAGCCAAGTGGCTCAGTAAAGCTGACAAGCCCCAGGACGCTCCATTGGACACTTTGCCCCTTTGAGCATTTGCTATTTGGTGAAGAAAAAGCATAGGAGGGTTCCAGCTGGAACTCTACAACAGGAAAAAGCTCTTTTTGTTAATTCAAAACAGTTTGGAATTCATTACAGTTCTTCCCAAACTTCCAAGATATGGGGGAGGAAATTCACTAGATTTTATAATCTATTTTTCTAGGCAGATTGCCATCACCATCCTAATGACAGAGAGGCTATAAATATTGATACAATGGCCATAGATGGCAAGTCATCCAGCCTCCTCCTTTACTCTCTTGA